GCTGCCCCCATTTCTCTAAACAGACAAATTTAACAAGCATGGGAAAAATTCCTTTTAGGCTTTCACAATCTCCAAGGCTTTGGGTTTTTTTGCATATACAAGGTTTACACCTTAAAATGTTTTATGTTTTGAAACTTCCTGAAAGCAGGCAGCTGAAGTTTTTGGACATCGCCAAGTGCTTGAACAACTAAATTTCACATCAGATTATACAGGAAACAATCACTATGCACCCAAGTAAAAAATAAAAACAAAAAGATTAGTTTTAATTCAAAGAATAAGTGCTCTGGATCTGTCAGTAGATTTAATCAAATTACTGCATTTTACTAATGAATATATGTATATACTATCATTCTTGTCTATGTTAACTAGAAAAGTAACTATGCCAATTTGTTTTTCACTCAGCACTCTCTACTTTACTTTGTTATCTACTTAGAGAACATAAGTTCTATTCTTAGATATGCATGTTTTACCTACATTTCTTCCATTCAGAGAAAGGTAACTGAATGTTGCATGTATGAAGCTTGACTTTTAATCAAATTGGCCTGTGCTCCAGAGAGCCAAAGATTTATTAGAAATCACGTACTGAAGAACTCAAAAACTAACCTGTGTTCCATTTTACCCCATATATAATCTCAATTTTATTTGATGTGATAAGGATAAAGTGAAAGTGGTTATTGCTACAACATTACATTATACCAAATCCAAGTGGAATTCATACACAAGTTACTTGCAGACAGTTCTAAAGTGTCATCAAACATTTTGTAGTGGTTGGGCAGAAACAAAGCCATAGAACCACAGAACGGTTTGGGTTTGAAGGGACCTTAAAGATCGTCTAGTTCCAATGCCCTTGCCATGGGCAGGGACACCTCCCACTGGATCCAGCCCAACATTTTCTAATAGATTTAACAAGCTATAATTAATTACATTTGTTGTATATTGACAACTGCACGCAAAGTATATATTAAGAAATTACAAATTCCCCTGCCCTCAAAACAAAATCTGTGCTTTTTTTTTTCCTGTCTAATTTGGTGATCCATGTTACAAATATTTGTTTACATCCATTTCAGTGCCTTGGGAAAACCTGTGTAGCTGGAAGCAAGAACAACACTATGTAAATGATATGTTTCACTGAAATTTTCTGTTACTGCTACCTAACCAAAAAATGATAGAAAACCAACATACTGCACCATTTGCAATCCTAATTCTATTATAAATTAAAGTGATTGCTTTAGGATAGTATATTCTAAATACTTAGTTTCTAATTAAAATAAAGGGTACCAACACAGTAACTCTCAATCACTATCCTGAATTTATTAAAACTTCAAGGTGACTGACAAAACCAAGAAAAACATGAAAATTTTATCTGAACATAACCTAGGGTTTTACATGCTCAAAAGGTATTTTTAAAAGAGTCATTTGTTCCAAGACTTTATCTTACCTATACACAGCTGAAAGAGGCAAATTTTTAAATGACCCGTAAAATCTACCTTATATCCACTAATCAGCTTTATTTTTCTCAGATGTAATAATTGCACTAACTGATTTCCTGATGAAAAGGATTAATCTCTGTAACAAAACAGCAAGGTAAGTACACAATGGATATTCTGAAAAGATCACTGAACTTGTCACAGTTAAGACTTGACATGCCTGAATTTCAAGAATCATACCTCAATGTCTGATGTGACCAAAATTTCCTAAATAAAACCAACCCACCTTCTTTTTGAAATTGCTAGATGTCATATGAAGCCAAACCAAGACACATCAAGTATGTATATATAGGAAATTTTTAAACACATCTCTCTGCTATGTAGTTGTCAGTTTCCACAAAGGAACTATGGAGAAAGATGTGCTATATACACCAAGTGATAAGGCCCTAGTAGAACACCACAAAATTAAAATTTAAGGTTACATTACACTATTACTTTGTATTTTTTAAACAAAAATTCGCATATAAAGGGAGATCAGAGTATTAAAGTGAACTGCTTTCAGTAAACTTTGAAAGTTAGGTCATGGTATGCAATAGTTCCCTATTTCTGAAAAAAAGCTATTAGTAATTTTGTCTATGAAAACTAACAACATATGGGACACCATACTGACAAAGTAGAGTGCCAATGGATCCTCCGTGTCTTTCTTGAAACTAACTGGCAAACACACCAACCCCAAATGTGATTTAAGCGAGCATAATAAAAGGCAGTCTATGAGAATAATGAAACATCAGAAAAAGTAGGTGTCATTTTACTTAACTAGGTAAGCTTTAATGTCTTCCTTTGAACTTCTTATAAGAAGGGGGGGAACACCAAGACTGACTAAGGTGAGGCATAAAACAAGGCATCCTTAAGTAAGGTCAAAAAATCCACATTATGAACAGGTGATGAACAGGTGGGAAAGAAAAAAACATGTGACAGTGCACCTCTTGACCACTTAAAAATTTCAATGCTTTGTATACTAAGCAAAATCCTTTTTAGTGACTTTTCCTACATCCACCAGAACTGAGGATATTTAACATTCATACTGAAGAAAACTTCAACAATAATTCACTTTCAACTACAGTAATTGCTCATGAAGTTGCTAGCTCACAAGAACACATGTAAGAAGCCTGAAGCACACCTTTTCTATCATGGTATGGTTTTGGAGGGAAAGGTTCATGTCAGCCGAATTATTTCAAATAAAAACATCTTTTACCAGCAGCATGAAATTAAACTTTTGTGAAAAATATCCATACAGAAAATGTTATATTACTGTATACATGAGCTCATTTATTTTTATCAGAACACAGACATCTGCATGAATGGACACCAGCTTGCATATGCTAAAGTAAAACAGTTCAACTGGTTTTAAATCTTGGAAAACATCTGAGGTTTGTGCTGGTTTCCTGATGAATCATAGCTCAAAATAGCTGCCAATTGCAAATTGCTTAAATTAGTGTGGAGACACAAGTTTGAAACTAACATGAAGAATAAAATCTCCAACGTGAAAGAAAAACGACTGCTTGCAAATGGAAAAAGAACCACAGGAATAAGATCTAATAAGCTGATAAATCTATAGGAACCATATATGCTTAAAAACGCACATACTATTAAAGGATAACTAGAACACCTTCAGGTGAATTTTATTTGGCTAAAACATTTCTATTCATATACACATTCTCTTCTTGAACAAAAAGTTTAAATACAAATGCCCCGTAAGTATTAGTTTTACATAAATTTAATTCTGTGGGTATCTTCAATAGCTTCAGGAAGAGGCTACATAAATGTATTTAATAATTAAAAAAACATTTTGACCTTTTTGGATTTTATTCCTTGTAATAGCCTACATATCACACTAAAAAAAAAACCCCTAGAAATTCTGAAATGCAAAGAGTACAAAAATTAGAAGAAATTATCCATATGGTTTGGTTGTGGGGTTTTTTTTTTTTGTTTTTAAGATAATTAAAAGCATATCTGCCCCACATACACCTAACTCCACAGAGAGAAAAGGAACAAAATGACTGATTTTAAATGTATTCAGAAAGATAGTAGGTTATGCCCTTTTTTTTGGTCAAGAATTAAGTCAGTTCTCCTACACAATGAAAACATTTTTTTTTCCCCAAAGAAACAATGTACAACATTTAAGAACTTTTTTTAAAAAGAGATCATGGAACTAGAGACAAATAAAAACAAATATTGGGTCACTCTTATTTGCTTTCTAGGTTTTGAACCTTCAAAATTAATGTCTTTTTCCTGTTCTTAAGTACCAGATCAAACCTACAAGCTCCTTCCAAGCTGTTACGAAAAAGCAATTAAAACTGGGGCTTTCCAAAGAGGTGAAACAAACAAAAATATGAATCAAATCTTAGCATTTTATTATGCTACGATTCCAACATCAGAATAATTTTCCTCCTCATTGAATAGTCCAAAACAAAAATGCCCCCCAAAAAACTCAAAAAAACACCAAAAAAAAAACAAACCCCAAAAAACCCAACAGTCAACCACTCCTCCTCTGTCCTCCTCAAACCACAAGAATACCCCACAAAAGAATACAAGCAGCTTTCAGAGCACATCTTCTCAATAGATGTTCAAATTAAATTCCTATATCTTTCATTTAAAGACACAAAAAGCACATGATGTTTTCATACCTGCATATGGGTTACCAACATGACAATGAAACAGAGTATTTATTTCAAAGGTAATACAAAAGTCATAGCAATGGCCATGGATAACATTAAGGAAATAAATTATTTAACTAATTTCCTTATGCTGCTGTTCTCTCCCTCACAAAGAGGGTTTATTCAAACTTCTCCAATAAGCAGAACTATGGTTCACTAAAAAAAGGTGTAATTAATTGTCTTCAACTGCACTGCACCAAAGTATCAAGATTGTTTTTTAATGTTCTTTAAAGAAGGCTCACTAAGAGTTTAATCTTACACTCTAGATTCAACTTTACATAAAGTGCAGAGACTAAAAAGAAGAAACACAGGAAATGTTATTGTACTTTGGGATTTTAACACTTCCATAAAATACATGGGTACACAAAGCATCTCATACAGAGTCATCAGGTTCATAACATGAACATACGTTTCGAGTAACACTACAGCAAAATTAAGTCACACATGGAACATGCGTTTCCCATGTTCCTCCCTATTTGGCACCATATATGAAGTTTCCATGTAATTTAACAGGAAACTTACAAAAAAGCAGCTGATTCACCTTTCCTATTGGTTGCAACAAAAGGAAAGAGAAAACAGCATAAAACAAACAAATTCCCCAGCAACATATGCAAACCCGAAGATTCCACTGCTAAAGTGAAAACTCTGAAAAAGTAAAACCTGGTTCACTATGTCTAACTGTATAGGGCCAACACAAAAATGAATTAGTAATTTTCTGAACTGTAACTACTCAGCTATGAGGAAAAACTGTTCAAGTGCTAAAATCTGAAGATTAATGATTACACGGAAGTAAAAAAATTAACAGGTGTGTTAACTTTTAAGATGCATCCATTCAAATAATTTTTGTAGCATTTACCTGTATCCAAGCGCTTTACAGGGGACTCATCATCAACCTCAGAATCTCCACATGCACTCCTTGATCTTTTCCTTGGGTGCAGAAGTGTCTCCAACCTTGGAAGGACTACAGACAAAAAGGTTTTGGTCCCTAGCTGTGGAGAAGTTGGCTGGGTTTCAGTGTTCTTTGCAGACTTTTGGGGGCTTATACTTTTCGATTTGCAGAAGAGAATGGATGTACGTCTGTTTACATCAGTTGATGACTCAGCTACAGCAGAAACAGTCGACTCATTGAGATTACTGTCAAGTAAGTGTTCTGGAGTATGTCCATTTATTTCTTTCTGAATGGAAGTGCTATATAATTCATTATCAAATTTTACTCTTTTGTAAAGCTTACTCTGCTCTGGATTGAGTTCTACTGGTTTGAGGGTTGGTGGTTCTGAATTAGTCTCCAAGTTTGAAGGAAGAGGTAATGCATCTGATGGTTCAAGTTTAGGGGGAGATTTATCTCCTGAAAAAATTATAAATAGAGTGTGATTTTTGAAAACCTGCAGTTATAAAGTCTATTATAAAACTCACTATAAATGTGCAGCCCACCAAATAAATTTTTGTTTGGAAAACAAAACATAACATTTTAAAAACAAACCTTGCAACAATCTGTCCTAGTTAGTAGTTCCTACTTTTATACTGGGAATGTAACGGGGATAGAAAAGTAGGTGTTTATAGTTTGTGTTAACAATTTACACCTGGATCAATACTTTTTACTTCTCATGCAGTTATGTTAGTTTCATTAACTAAAAACTAAGAAATCTACTTTTTTAAACAGAAAGTTGGGGTGGTGGATGATTATCTGTTAATTGCAATTACACTGCCATTCAAGTAAAATCTTTGATAATATACATTTTTATCTATTTCACCTTATCAATATTCACCTTACGTGCCTAAGACAAATTTTATCAGATAAGCATTTAAAATAAAAGTGTATTTGCAACCTGATCTACTACCGTGAGCTAAAATGTTTTGTAAAATTTACAGAAAGGCAAGATTTGCAAAGCTGTTTTACAGTTGTAGTTTTATCTACCAGAAGGCAAAGGAAAAAAAGGGGGGGTGGGGAAGAGGGAAGTCTTGCACCCCCAAAGTCATGCAGCTTTATTAGCCACTAGCTGGCAAACACACACTTGACAATGCAGCCTTGATAGGAGAAATCAGAAAAACCACCCTCTACCGTTTTTAATTCCTTCCACTTTTTTTTTTTGGTGTCTTTTGGGTTTTTTTTTTTTAATTATTTTTTTTTTTAAAAAAAACGTGATCACATCCCAGTCAATTCCAGTAATTCCATGCTGGGAAAAGACAACACAGATTTAACTGTGAGCATATAAAACTATTTTCAGTTTTTCATCCCAAATGATGGGAAAGAGAATAAGCATTCTACTGTTGAAGCATTCCCAAATACAAGTAGAAGGATTTCCTAACCTGTACTTATCAACTCAAAAAGATGTTAAAATCTTCCTTCTAGCTTCCAAAAGAATCCTTAAAAATATAAATTAGTAAGAAAGAAGACGCTTATTCTAGAGTAACTGCATGAGACCAACATAATATTTATGCTATCACATATAATTTTAAAATCGAGTTAATTTTTCTATGCCACCTGAAAAAAAGAGGTGTAAAAAAACCAAGGGTTTAAGCCCTGTATCTGTAGTGAATTAAATTATTATCTCTACATTGTTTTTGTTTTGGCTCAGCAATGCTTACTTGGAAATCAACGGCCTCCAAGTTCAGAAAAATCTCTGCCCCATTGCTTAAGGTTTAGTCAAATAGCATAGTTCATATTAAAAATATATTGTTAAAATGAAGTGTGACTATGCTCACGTCCTTTGAAGGCATACAAGTATTAGAATTGGTAAATATTTCAGGAAGACATTTAGAATGAAATTTAGTCAGATAAGTACATTTAAAGTACCACCAATTAAAAAAAGCTTGTAGTTTAGAAAGTTCATGGTAACTGTTAGTTGTGAACAAATTCTGATTTTCTTACAATTAATTAGAAAATATTCAAAAAAGATTTAAGCATAGAAAAACCACCTAAGAACTATCTAGACACGAAAACCTAAATTTCACCAGGTAATTCTGGTACCCTATTTTTCACATGATCAGAAACTGAAAACAGAATTGCAAGGAGGTAATTCACAGCTCTTCTCAAGTCAGGTCCTGGGTACAGGATTCTCCTACTTTCTTCCTCACCCTTCTTTTTGGTAACTTGTTTTCTTTACTCCTCTAAGTACCTCCCATTTCAGAATCAAAATTTGAACTAATGAGTGTTACTCTTCACTAGATCAGAACTGTTACAACAATGCCAATCAACTCTCGCTTATGCTCTTCATTACGTTTTTTTTGGGTTTTTTTTGTTTTTTTTTTTTTTAAATAAAGCATACTGTAACTATAAGAAAACAGCTACTGCTTACTTTTGGACTATTTTTGGACAACAGCTGCAATGAAAGCCTGCTTCATAAAAATGTTAAGCTACAAGTAAAAAAAGTTAATGTTCATCTTCTGCCAGAAACTACATTCCTAAAAAACTACATTCAGTAGCGTCATCACTTGAAGATTAAAAAAATAACCCAAGTTAAAAAAGAAAAAAAAAAAATTTCAAGAATATTTAGCAGCCTCAGAAAAAGCGTGCTGATTCACATACTTTTTATACTACTGTCTTTAAAATCTCAAGAAAGTTATATGATTGAAAAGCATTCTCTTAGTGGCACTAAGAAACAAACACCAAGTTGCTGTCTGAATGGCAGTTAGGGTCAGTCATTTTAGTGACTTCACCTTTCAAAAATTTTGATAGCATCAAGCTACACCAGACACAGTCTGTTTATTACCATGCTTCTTCCACTTTCCCTTTAGCTCTTTCCTGATCATATTCAATGCACTTATTCAAAATAAAACACATCTCTAACTCTCCTAAAGAAAAATAGGTTAGTTTTTTAGAGAAGAGCTAATTGTGAAACAAAGCAAATAGAACATATTTTTTAGGGAGACTAGATTTTCTTTGCATCATTTAAAAATGAGCAATAAAGACCTCAATAACTGATTTAATAGCTGAAAAAGCAAATACGATATTACTGAAATATAAAGTTAGGTCTTTCTAGTATATTGCTCTCATTGAAATCAATGGGAATTAGCCAGGAGTAGATGCAATTCTGAGAACAATGTTTTAAGGCGGTAGAGAAGCACAAGGGGAAGGGCTGGTTAGATACAGCTGACTTGATTCTACAACATGAAGTTTGTTAAGTCCTACCCATGGTTAGCTTTATGTAAAAAAAAAACAAAAAAACAAAAAAACAACAAAAAAACCCAAAACCCAAAAACCCCAAAACACACACAAACCCAAACCTACCCCCCACCCTCTTCAGAGTCTGGAGTAGAGAATTAAAAAAGCTACAAAAGACAGTACAATGGCCGGAGTTCTCAGCACCACTGACCTAGGCCCACATGATCCCTAATACATATTTTAGCATTTAAATGTATTTCTGAAAGTACAAAGATGTTTTCCACTCAGGCATTTCTCATTCCTTTCTGTATGAGATTGATTGTACTTTCATTTTTTAACATGTAAGTTTTTAAAAAGTCTTGCTACTGTGAAAAATAGCAGAGGGAGGTTTTGCTTAAAAAAATCACTCTCACATTCTTAAAATACTTGTTGTGATTAAGTGCCTATCTGTCCATTAAAAAAAAATGAATATAATATTCATTTATTACACTCTAACTCACACAATTAAAATACCTGACTGAACAGGTTCAGAACAGTACTGTTTTAAACATGGTTTAAAATCTTACCTTCTTCTTCTCCATCTTGTTCTAATCCTGCACTTTCTTCTTCAAAACTTCCAATACCTGATTCTATTTGAGGAGCTTGGTTGTGTTGCTGACTTAATTTGTTGCGAATAATGCTGATTTCTTTCTTTAACAGCTTTGCTCTTTTGCTCCTTGACCCACTGGATTTCATTGCACAGGTGAGATCAAGTTTTTCTAGCAACTCTCTCAGCTGTTCTTCCAAGGACATATGCGCTCTATTTGCAGGATTCAGTAACCGATCCACTGAAGTCAAAATACATATAATTGAAAATGTATTAAGTGTTTCCCAGAATATATCCCAAAATAGTAATACCAACAGGAGGAAAAAAAAAATTTGCTTGCCAGAATTAAAAAGCGTCATGAAAAAGCTACTTAGATTACAGTCTTAGTAACTTCACCGCCACCAGTGAAGAAATGTTGAAACAAACTCCTACTATATAATTTCTATTCTTCTTGATCAGCATTTTACTCAAGAAAAGGAAGTAGCAGAGTAAAGAATTAAAAGGTCAGAAGAAAGACATAATTAATCCTTCCCAGCCTAACAGTTTATTACCTTCTTGCTAAAGAGAAGGGCAATATTATGGTTATAAAATAAATGTGTTAATAGTTCTCTTTTATTGCCAAAACCTCAGAAAAGGGATACGTCCATCAAAATAAGTAATTCTAACTCCTAGTTCTACAAACATGCTTGATTTTTTTATTCATTAGGTTATTTAAGAATGTGCTTAGGTTTATGCATACCAATAATCATTGTCCATGACTTACAAGCATATACAATCACATGAAAGATTAAAAAACCTTTTTCATGTATCTTGTTAAATTAGGCTCTGGCATCGTCAAAATGAGAAATCTCAGTAACACTGTTTTCTAATGACCGATCTAGTAGAATAGAAACACTTGAATCTTTCAAGTAATATTTTTAATGGGGGTGTGTGGAAATCTAGTCAAACTTAACAGCAACTATCTTTAAAATCTGTATGAAATGTACACACTGTGTGTAATGAAAAATAAAACTTTTAAAAAAAATCCAAAACCATCTTACCATCCTCCCAAGAGAAAGGCTGAGGTGACTCAAGTTTAGGCCGTTCAGGTAAATGCATTCCAGTTTCATTATTATAACCGATTCCTTCAGCATCTCGCCTAGCTTGCCTGAGAACTACACCTCCTTGATCTCTTAACCGCACTGCAGCTCTATAGAATATTGTATCTTTTGCATTGTATTTCATACAGTTATCTATTATAAGATTGAAGTCTTCTTCAAACTCACTGAGGTTTTTATAGCCTTGAGCATCTAACCGTTTTCGCATGGTAGAGAAATCCATAGGATGTTTAATATGATCCAAATAGTCTGGAACCTTTGAATAAATATTTAAAATATGAATGGGTAAAATTATCTTATTACACACAAACTAACATCACTATTAATTGATCCACAGTTTCTAAAATATTTTGTAACACCTCAAGTCAAGAACTTCAAAATGTGGCTTCGAATTGCAGATCTTGATATTGCAAACATTTGCACACCAACAGAAGTTTACGTATTACAAGATTCTGCACCTTAGGAAACAAGCTGGAGCTCTACTAACAGATGCTGAAATTAGGTTTTTAGAATTCTGTGGGTTTATGTACATATTATACATGTATTTATGCATAAGCATACTTACAAATGTATTCATACATTTCTATAATAAATACATGTGTATGTAGTAGATGCACACTTGTATACATATACAATTTATACAGACATGTATACACATCTACATCTTATTTACACATATGTATAAATGTGCTGTGTATGTATGCACACATACATGTCCATTCTAAGTTTATCTGGTTTCCCACTGAATTAAAAGTAATTTCACCTGCAAGTAAGAACATGGTATCCACATTTCAATTCAATTCAATTTCAGTTTTTAACCCTTCCAGTTTGCTTTCTCAAATAATTTTATCGCAGAAGTTCAATATGTACCCATGTCATTCCGTGCAAGTATTTCCCAGAAATTATTTTGGTAAAGGAGCATACAGAGACTTTCGTAACAGCAAGTCATAACTTATAACGAAAATTATCAGAAGAGAGATCAAAAGGTAACACTGCTCCCAGCTCTGCATACAATGACTTGTTGTACTCAAGTGCCACCAAGTCATATCTAAACATATGGAAATATAGATTAAAGTATACCTCTTTAAGGTTCACTGGCTGAGCAAATATACGAGCAGTATCCTTTTCCTGCAGCTGATCCAGAACCGATCGCAGAAGTACAGTGAATGGAGTAAGCTGAAGTTCCATAGCAACCTGCTCAATCTTCACCTAAAGAAGTAATAATTATCCAACTGAGCATTTTTCTTTAAGATACTGTTTTAAAGTTGTTTTGCAGCAATAGTAAAGTACTTTAGGTATAAAACACAACATAAATATCCTTTAAGTAAATGAGTTCAATGCTATTTTCAATATCAGCTGACATTTGTCTGGCATACATTTTCAGATGATGACTTTATAAGAAAAATCATTCTCATCCCTTCATTGTAGATTAAACTTCAGCTCCAGCTTCTCAGAACTCAAATTCACATTTTATCTATAAATTAGTTTTGTTCCATTTTAAAACTGTATTTCTTTTATTTGAAAAGATGTTACACAAGAACAGCTTCATATTTTGCCAACAACATGAGAATCAAAACAAGAATTTAAAGGCAACATGTTTAAAATTAAATTTCAGTTGTTGTGCCATGTTCAAAGTGTAAAAAGAGAATCTGATTAACATTTACAGGCTACAGAAGACCAAAACAAAGAGTAATTTTAAGGATGATGTTCTATGTAAATTACAAGAAAATATTTTTTAAAAAACCAGAACCAACATAATCTTTAAATACTTGATCATCCTTTAGAATTTTGCTTATTTTTGACAATATTACAACTCCTCTATGGTTCTATTATCAGTTCATTTAAAGACTTCTCAAAACTGAAACAGTATTGTTACGGCAAAAATAAATTCTTAATGACACATTAATAGTGTGTGTGCATACAGACAACACAAACATGTAAACAAAGTATACACACACAAAAAATACATGTCTATAAATAATAATACATAATACATGCGTATAGCAAGTGGATGTCCAGAAATGCTGCGTGGAACTCCAGAAAGTGCTCAGGAATTACAAACTATAGTAGCTTGCAATGAATATTTACAGCTTGCAAAAAGTAAAAATTGAATGTTGTTTTTAATAATAAGGATAATTAAAGACTCGTAAGAGGAAACATTTTGCTTTCACATATCTGCATCATCACTTCCTCAAATCTCTTCTCCCAGCAACGTTAGCTATAGAAAGTCATAGGACTTAGATGCAGTTTTTTTTCTTTTTTTGGTGACAGAAGAATAGAAGTTCTACTCAACACAGGTACATGTATTGGGAAAACGTGAAGAGATCACATTTCCTATAGCACTTCTGAAAGCAATTGTCTTTGCAAGTCTAACAGAATGGCTTGTTAAATAATTTCTCTCCACCAATGCGCACAGCATGGGCAACAAAAAGGAGGATTTGGAAGCCACTGTGCTGCTAGAAAGCTACAGCCTAGCTGTCACTACTGAAACCTGGTGAGACGAATCCCACGACAGGAGTGAGGCTATCCATGGCTAGAGGCTGTTCGGAAGGGACAGGCAAGGAAGGAGAGGCTGAGGAGGTACCCTCTACACCAAGAAATGGATAGAGTGTGAAGAGCTATCTCTGAAGAATAGCCGTGAGGAAGTTGAAAGCTTACGGGTAAGTATTAGAGACTGAGGCAACAAAGGGAACCTTGTGATTGGTGTCTACTACAGGCTACTCGATCAAGGGGAGCCTACTGACAAAGCCTTCTTACTCCAGCTACTGGAGCGATTGTGCTCACAGGCTCTCCTCCTGCTGGGGGTCCTGCTGGGGGACTTCAACTACCCCGACATCTGCTGGAAAATTAGCATGTTGAGCTGCAGGCAATCCAGGAGACTCCTGGAATGCATCAAGGACAACTTTTTAAGCCAGGTAATAGCCAGCCCTACCAGAGGGGATGCAATACTGGACCTGACGCACTCTTTATCAGGGAGTGTAGTGATAGGACAAGGGGCAATAGGTATAAGCCGAAAGAGGGTAGATTTAGATTAGATATTAGGAAGAAATTTTTCACTGTGAGGGTGGTGAGACACTGGAACAGGTTGCCCAGCGAAGCTGTGGATGCCCCATCCCTGGAGGTATTCAAGGCCAGGCTGGATGAGGCTTTGAGCAACCTGGTCTAGTGGAGGGTGTCCCTGCCCATGGCAGGGGGGTTGGAACTTGATGATCTTTAAGGTCCTTTCCAACCCAAACCTTGATCCTACATGAGGATTAAAAGACAAACACTGCAGTCTTTCTATTGCAAAAACTGTGTGTGAGAATACTTAAACTATCCTTCCTTCAGAAAAGTTTCACCAAATTAAAAAGGTAGTCCACTTACCTGTTCTCTTTTTAATTTTTCACGCTTACGTATAAGTTCAATCAACAAACGTGCTCTTTCAAGATCATGGCGTAGCCTTTGCCAGTACTTCAATTTTTCTTTTAAGGCTTGCATTTCTTCATCATCTTCTCTCTGAGAAAAGAATCAAAAGGTTTTCATTAAATGAAAAATGCTAACCTCTTTTTATAAGCTAATTTTATGCAATTACAGAACACATTCACAAGAAAGGAGAAACTACCATCTTATAGTTACAGTACTTGGTCAGAAGCTTCATACTGCAACAAAAGAAAAGCTCTGGCCAGGGTATTTTTGGGTTTCTCAATTGTCTAGCTGAAAAGAAAATCTATAAACTGTAAAGCAATCCTATAGTGAAGGCTATGTACATCAGAAAAAGCAATATAGCAAACAGCAAACTAGCAGTATAACAAGCTCCAAAATAAGATTCAGTATTTTCACATCAAAATCTAAACGAGGTGAGCATCATCAGCTTCATCAGAAACTCAAACCTGGCAGAAACAAATTTTTCTTGTGCTCAACACAGTCCACAGCCCCCACACCCAGCAGAATTAGGACACACTTTTAACAGAACAAAATCATTATGACTTCTGAGGACAGGAAACAAAAAGCAGGTTATTAAATAATATAGCAACTTCAAATGGTACTGGAAATGGCTAATGCAGTAATAAAACTTTCTATGAATGAATGGATCAAAGAATTTAATTCACACATTTTTAGGAAGAACTAGTGTTTAAACACTTGCAGTATTTAGCTTGATTTGTACACCCATAAAATAGAGCCTTTTCTGGTTTTACTATTTTTCATTTAAAAAAAAGGATATTGGAATGCTACCTATAGTACTCAAATGGTATTGGTAATTCACCAGAAACAAGGTCATAAAAAGACAGAAGTCCTGATATTAGTACCAAGTTCACAAAAGAAACAATTGCTTTGAAAAAAATATTACATTTAAAATTAATATTTTATAAAACAATCTCAGAAAGAGATACCAAGCTTTGTATGCTTGCCTGTAACTAGTATAATGCAATATATAATATATATTTATAATACACTTGATAAGCAAGCATTGTGACTTTTTTAAAAACTGAAACAAACAGGTAATACATTCCACGAGTTATAAAAAACCAAAGACAGAGGAATAAAGAAAACTGGCTAAGCAGATGAATAACCAACATTACAAATTGCCACAGCTCAAAGCAAAAACCTCCTTAACAGAAGAATAATTCAGAAATATCATAGGTCCTCTAAAGGAAGCTTGTGCAATTTTTCAGACAGAAGATTCTAAAAACAGAACTGCAAAAACTGCCCACTTAAAAAAAATAGCTAATAGATTTGCAAGTGCTATGATTCTATGATTTGCATTGTATTTTATTGCTTTATGGATTTTGTAAAAGTAAAGGCAAGTACCCGTGGAAGCTATGAAGTTAGGTTTATTCAAATCTCTGACTTCACTGAAGCTGAGAATCCTTAACTATCAACTATCTCTGTATTCCAATACAGCAATCTGGAAACAAGTTTGTTCCTCTTTAAAAAAAAAAAAAAAAAACCCCCCAAAAAAACCCCCCCCCAAACAAAAAAAAAAAAAAAACCAAAAAAACCCCCAGCCAAACAAACAAACAAAAAAAAAAACCACACAAGCAAAAAACACAAACCAAACCACACAAGAGACCAGAAAATTGTAGCTAGAAACTTCTCATTCCCCTTCCTGATGACTATTACTACTAACACTTAAAGACTTATAATTTCTTTTAAGGGGTTAAGTGTTGTCATTATGTGTAGACACATAATTTAACTGTTGAGGGTCAGAATAGTTCAAAGTAAATTTTGACAGAACAAATATTAACATGCACATTTTCAATGCCTTAAAATTCTCAGAGACTCACTGAATTAGAAAGCCTACACTGCCACTAATTGCTGTTCTCCTACACTCCTTCATCTCTGAGTACAGATCCCATATGTAGAAAAGCAACGTAACTGTTAACGGACATAGCTATACAATTTTTTTCATAGTTTTACTGTTTTTAAGGACCAAAATGAAGTTGTGGCTATTTCTAAAAGCAGAAGGCTTGTCCCCCCTTTGCTTGCAGCCACTCAGGGTCCACTTTTTCGTCATATGTAATTGCAGAGTTCACGAAAACTGGGGAACTGACCCTGCCGAAAACTAAGTCAACAAAACCATACTAGTTTTTGGGTGGGTCAGGAAGCTTAAAACCAGCAAGAAAAAAAAAAAAAAAAAGTTACTTTGTTACACCAAGTCTTGGGGCAGTTCATTAGCGATTTAACTATCTGGCTAAATCTGAAAGGTGCAGTTGCACTTAAAAGACTTTTTTTTTTTTTTTAGTTGAATCAGTTGTTTGACCAATATCATTCCATAAAATAGGAAGGTAGTCGTAAATCTGCAGATGTGACCCAAAGTATCAAGAGCACCTTGCTTACTTTTTTTTCTGCACACATACACTCTCTTCTTGAATGTCACTCCAGCCTGGGGATTAATAGCAAGCCTCCAATTTTTGACACTTCTATGCAAAGTAATTTTGGCAGACACATTTATAATAGCTAAGACAATCCCCCTTTGCCCCAACCTATTATTACCTGACATATAACATACACCTGAATTAGATTAAAAGATCTAGGCAAGCTGAAAAGAGTATGATGCACTGGTTTCCAATATCTAACTAGTAAAAACTTGGATAAGAAAGTGTTCTGTTGTGGTTTAATCTCAGCTGGCAACCACACAGCCATTCACTCATTCCCCAACCCCAGTGAGACAGGGGAGAGAATTAGAGGAAAAAGGTAAGAAAACTTATCGGTTGAGACAAGAACAGTTTGATTGAAATAAAATAAAATAATAATACTAATACTACTACTAATAATGATAATTTTATTCTCAGCACAAATCCAAAACATAGCCTCATACTAGCTACTATGAAGAAAATTAATTCTACACCAGACAAAACCAACACAAGTTCCTTTCAAAATTTTTAGTTTTCAAAATTTTTCTGTCAAGGAAAGTTTCTATCAACTTCTTGGGTAAATTTCTGTAACAAAGCCAAAAAATTTCTTCTGGCTGATGACACAAGTAAAATTTAGAAAGAAACTCTGTGGTATTTTCTGATGGACTTAGTTCTTGCTGAACACCAAATACTATCTAGGAAAGCTGAACCTGACACATTTATTAATAGTGAAGGAAGAGAGAAACACTTCTAAGTCTACACACAGAACATGCATCATCTGAGAACTGGTCTTCAGCTCCAACTCACATTGCAAGTATGTTACCAGTCTCTGCATCCTAGCAGGAATACTGTCAGTGTACCAACAGATCATTCCTTACGCTGGATGTGAATACATGAAGACAGCCTCGCTCCCTACAGGGACTGTAATTTAATATGAACCAAACAGAAATAGAATTACAGTGATGAAACTGGATCTTGATCAATACAATTAGTTTTATTAAGACCCTCTGCTGGCACTTGTATGCCCATCGGTCAAAACCATTTTGTGGTTGCAACTTGCGTTCTTACTGAACTCTTCAGTGCAGATATGACCTTAATCCCAAGCACCTTCTGCTTTGTTTCTCCGAACAGCACTACACTTTGTTTCTCCGAACAGCACTACACTTAAGATTTCACACCTTCTTTTTAGTCAAGCATAGTTTAAGTACAGAAAAAAAAAATACTAAAATAATTAGAATGGAAATTTATTAGAGTATTTCAAATACCTTTCCTGAATTTCTAGGTAGAAGGAGAAGTGACAGTACAAACCCTTCTTTCAGAGTGTTCCTTGCTCCTGAAGAAGATGAGGTAATACATAAGCCAAGATCTTTCTGCCTGGTTTAGAACTGTTAGCTGGTGTAACACCACCTTCAAAAGCATATCATAACTGAGCTCTGAAACACATTCATTAGAAAGTGATTCTAAATCACAGAATGCTCACCCCCTACCAAATTTGTTCCAGTAAATAATCATTAGAGAGTGATCAAAATCACCTTCCACTAGACATCTTGAAACCATTTTCAGGGTTTTGGTTCCTCATCTTAACATGTATTTTCAGTTTAAATAATAATAATAATCTCTCCTGAATCTGCATTACACCACTGTTTATGTTGCTTTGACTGACTGGAAATCTATTTAGCTTCCTTGACATTCTGACCTCCCACATAAAACAAGGTAAAACTAATTTTCCCATCTAGACTAAAATGAATAATAATTATATCTTAAAACTGTGAGGTGTTCTCACAACAGCCATGCCACAGCTGTTTATAAAGTCCTCATTATGGTTTGGCTTACACTTGGAGTAATGACAAAGACTAATGCATCAAATGCTTTGCAGTTATGACTAGTTTAATAAGTATTACAATACATATTGAAGATGCTCTGGAGAAGACACAATGTCATACACGAGACATTTGCTACTCACTGAAAAGAACGCATTTTTCATCAACAGAATCATGTAACACTCAGCTTTGCTTGAAACTTGTTTTTAAAAAAAAGTTAATTCCAGTTGTAAGTTTTTAAAGCATAAAATCTCAGAAGTACCCCAATTTTTAGTAAGCCAATATAAATTATTTCCAATTAATTTAGAAAATATTTTCATTATTTTCTTGCTTTCGTTATTGGAGTATTATAAAAGCAATGAACAAGTAGCCTGTTTATATACAAGTTACTTCCACGTAAAAGGAATTTGCGCATCTCGGCTATGAAGAAAGGCTGAGGTAGCTGGGATTGTTCATCCTGGAGAATAAAAGGCTGAGGTGGGCAATCTCATCAATGTATATGAAAACCTGAAGGGAGGGCGCAAAGACCGAGCCAAGCTCTTTTCAAGTGGTGTCCAGTGACAGAACCAGAGGCAATGGGCACAAACTGAAACAGAAGAGGGTCCCTCTGAAAATCAGAAAACACTTTTTTTTTTTTTTTAACCTGTGAGGGTGACTGAGCACTGGAACACCTTGCTCAGGGAGGTTCTGGACTCTCCACCATTGGAGGTACTAAAAACCTCTCTGGACATGGTCCTGGGCAAGTAGCTCTAGGGAGCCCTGCTTGAGCAGTGGGGTTGGACCAGATGACCTACAGAGGTCTCTTCTAACCTGAACTGTTCTGGGAATTATTAGTGTTTTTTTAATTAAAAGCTAAGAAAAGAAACACACACAAAAAGAACAGATCAAATAATTACAAAGCAGTAGTGTTGACCACAGTACTTTTATGACTACATCAATTAATAACTTAATCAGCAAACAGCAACACAATTAAAACAAAAATAGTAGTTAAGCTTTAAAGGAAAAAAAAATCTCAATTTAATACAAATAAACTATTATAAAATGCATTCTTAAGTTCTAGAGGCTATTTTACAGGAATAATTCCACTGGAAGTCAAATACCTGGAGAATGGAAAGAACATAGCCAACTACATTTTCAGTTCAATTAAAAAGGTAACTGGGACACAGCAAGAATTTCCACATCATGATGCTTCACAGCATTTCAAGGTCTACAGGCATGGATCCATATACAGAATTTACAAAAGCCGTTTTAATTCCTTTCTAAGCCCCCCAGTGACCTGAAACCAAAACAATGAAAGACCTACCAAAAATCTCTAATGTCACTGAAGAGCTGTTAATATTACAAAAATGGGAAGCAGTGTTCATACTACAAAAATGGGAAGCAGATGAGTACTGCTTTCTGAATCTGATACACATCTGGAGTGACTTTTTCCGCAATTTTGACTGGTAAATGTGTACAACTTTAACCAACCTGAATATATCTTAGATAGGATAAGTTTTACTTGACCAAAACATCTGCATAAACTTATGCTTGTCTACAACCCACCTAACCATGTCAAAAGTGAACCTAAAAGTTGGAACATGTCTTTGAACTTCATCAACAGCTTGTTCTTTGTTCATATCACCAAAAAAGGCAGGCAATAAGGATCTGAATTCAAAAACTAAACTAGCATGTCTAACCATTGCTCTATTAAAATCCCCATTCTTCTCAGTTAGAAGTATCAAAGACAGCATTTGTTTGCATCTTTTGATGAATTTAAAATAAATTTTTTTATCTAACTCATTGCACATTGAGGAACAAATTCCAAATAGAGAGAATACTAGTCAATAAGCAATGGTATTAGGATAGTTTTGGTGACAGTATTTTTGTGGAACATTTCAGTGAAACAAAAGAAGAACAAATGAATATATAATTTCTTTCATACATCACAAATTACAAAGCATTAGATAATGCCCAATTTCCAATATAGGTCATATTACTTAAGAATAAGGTAAAGAATTTACTCAGTGCTGAATAAGAGAAAGTTTATACCCTGTGCTATGTCTCCTGGTTAATTTTTTACTCTATAAAATTGAGATTTTCTGATTTCTTCTTATAAATAAAAAGTGTGTCACATACCTGTTGTGTGTTTCTTTGTGACTGTAAACTGGACTGCAGCCTTCTCAACAGAGGAACACCATTCCTAGACAGTCTTTTAAGCAACCAGTAACTGTGCACTCGTTCAACAAACTGCTTCTTCCGCTGAATGGCCACCTGATTCATAATCTTATTTAATCTAAAATATGGAAAAACTGATATTGTATTTTTCACAGCAAAGCATAAAATGTATTTGTCTATGGAAGTTAAACATCAGATATATATGAATGTATAATGTAACAACAGCAGTGATCACCATATTACTGATTTTTTTCAGCGACCTCTCTTTCGGAACAATTATTTCTGAGCAGTGGGTTATGATCAAATACAGCTGCTTGACATCACAGTTTCTACCAAATACACAAAGGTATTTTATAAAGTTAAAGGTCATAATTTTTTTCATGATCATTATCTCAAGAGCAATCCCAGATCAGGGCTGAGAATGAAGTTTTATGTGAATTTTAGAATAATTTTCCTATTGAAAATAAAATCAGAGATAAAGCTCTAAATCCCTACAAGTCTTGACATCATTCGTTGCTATCTTCACACAGAATTAGTAGTTTATTTTAAAGACAACAGATCTTTAAATTTATATATTCAAATATATATAATATATATGCAAATATATATATGCACCAAAACATGCAAGAAAAAGCTTGTATCACTCATTTACTAATATTCAATTGTTGGCAAAAAAAGCATACAAAAAATGTAAAACAGAAGAACACTTATGATTTTACACCACACACATACGATGAGAATATCCACACAGGAAAGATGCAAGAGGACGATACACTCAGTTAAGCAAAATATCTCGCCTAAATAAACAGAATTTTCTCAAAACTTGTTTTTTAACAGATCCATATACCCCATTTACAAACACTCTAGGAAAGTGCAATATGAACATCACACGTAACAAACTTGCCTATTTTTTAAATAATGACACATTAAAATGTCCAAAGTCTCACGTGACACAAATCTGTCAAAACTTAGTCAAAAAGAAGTTTATCTGAAACAGGTCTTCAAGTCCCTGTGACTATGGTATCTTGAAAGCACAGCAAAAATACAAAAAATAGAAGTTGATGGTATAGAGCGAAAAAGTTTTGTCTTTGTATGATATTGCAGGGATTTGTCACTGGTGGCAGCCCTCGCAAAATTAACACAAGATACCCCAAGGTACCAATCACCTGTGTTGCTGAGGGGATTGTTCATTTGCTTGGGGGCAAGGGTGAATTGGAGAGAGAAAAAAGAACTTCCCCAAGCTGGATGTAAAATAGAGTTATAGAAAGGATAATGTCAATTAACAGAAATCTGTTAATTCTTCACTCAGTATACAATACCACCATAGAAAAACTCTAAAATGGATATTAGCAGGTTTATCAGAAATTCTCCAATAAAATTTAATACCAAAATAGGCAAAATTATATTCAAGAAGTGCCTGATTTGTAGACTACTACCATGAGATGCTTAAATAAAAATCAGGAACATATACACATATTAGTATTTTTCTGCTTTTTCCCTTTTACCATTATGAATAAAGCAGTTTCTCAGGTAAGTAGCAGAAGAAAAGCAGTCAAATACCTAAACAAAATTTAAAGCTACAAGTAAACCTCAGATAAAATGATTTTTAATAGCTGGGAAACATGAATGATATTTTTCAGACAGCCACAGAAGTGAGTCTACCCCTAGTTCACCAAAAGTCATCTATTCTCTGGTTGTTTTTTCTGGGCTGTGTAGAAGATAAGGTGCAACAGGTCTACTCAGTGCTATAGTTACTAGCTGGAGAGCTTTCAGTCATCACAGGGTGAAGGCAGAGCAAAACCAGATCTTCTTCAAAATACAGTGACATTGTATCCTTCAGTTCTTCAGTGACACTGTTTTTCAATGAATAACTAAGACAGGCATTTTTGAAAAAGTTCAGTTTAACTTAAAGCTTAGAAAGTCTGCGGATGGACTAAGGACTATCTTGTAAGTCTTCCACTGAAGGGCAGAGGCAGGCTCCACAAAGACTTACTCAATGCAGAACAGGCCTTGATGTGACCATATTAACTTCAAACACAAAAGACTTACAATTAATAATAGAATACAATCACAATAAAATAATTACTTCCACACCTCTCTCTTGGAAAGAACAAAATCTACTGAACTGAGTCAAAAAAAGCAAAGCCAAATATATACCTATTTGGAAAGATCAGAGAATCATAACATGAAGAAAGGTGCCTTGGCTTCAGGCCCATCAGATGTGGCAAGACAAAGCAAACATCTTTAATTACAGCTTTAAGTACATTTGCCCATTCACATAATGAACCATTCTATTCACAGATAATTATAATAGTAAAGCACTAGAATAAACTTTGGAAAGATGTTTACAGAAGATATTCTCCAACTTCCAGAATACAAATAAACAGAAGGTAATTTGGAGTGCAGAAACTACCCAGCAAGGGGTAGGAATCTAGTCCTCTCTGCCTTCCCTCCAAATAAAACCAAATACTGGCTGTTCGTATTTCATTTAGACACCGGACTTTGGTAGTAGCAATATACCACTAATCACCTCTTAATTTCTCAAAATACAGAGGCCAGAGGCTCTTCACATGGCAGATACCTAAAGAGCCCCTATGACTGTATTGTTATAATGAGGGTGTTATATCTGCTGTCAGACCCTAAGCAACCACTATAGCACAGTTCTTTGATCATCTTTTTGCTTAGGAAGATACTCCCAGGTAGACTTTTGCTGCTTGAAACACTTTAAATTTTGACAGACAACACAACTATTTTGAGGAAATAAGACACAATCTGTCCGCTGCTACAGAACCCTAGAAGTAGCACAGACTGGTTACTGATTTTGAAGCTCCCATCCTTGAGAGCACTACCCTATTGGGAAAGAGGTTCTCATTCACCAAGATATATCCAGCTGCAGTGAAGCTGAACACAAGCATGAAATATGGCAGGTGGGTATGCACCAGCCTTGAGCAAGTTCCTTTCTGCCACCTGGGCTTGAATTAAATTTGTAAATGTTGAAACTAAATTTTCAAACTAGAATTTTGAAATTCTTTGAGGTCTTAAAAGGAGCTTGCTGCACATTCCCCCTTTTTTTTTTTTTTAATAGAGAGATGTCTTTAAAATAAATTATTGACAAGTGAAAAAGAAAAGTATATATTTGAGGCAGGTAAGGAAGAGCTGTTTCAAGACTTTACAGTTTTGCAATCCAGGATCTGACTTGCACAGGATCAACTGCTACACTACACTGACAAATCCACCACACAGAGGCAAGGCTTAAAGAACTTGGGTCATCTCCCAGAACTACACAAAACAACTCAGCAAAGTCTTTTTTTTTGCTAAGGTATCAGTCTACCCTAGAACTTTTTTCCATGTATAAAAATACCGGGAAATAATAGCTTTCTGTGGTGTTTTATTTTACTTGTGCTTTCTCTTCAGAAAAAAAAAAATAGACCGATCTCATTGTAACGAGCAATTTCACTACTTAATAATTTTCATATCTTTGTTAGGATTGCCAAATAAGTGCAAGACTACTACTGCAAGACACCACACAAAGAAGAGAATGTAGGAACATACATCTCAAAGATACTACCAGAGTTACTGTCTTCCCTATCACAACTGAGTTTAGATACATCAGGGGCAAAAAAAAGCTGGAACTATAGCAGCTACAGAAAGCAAGCAGGGAGACAAGAAGTGTTCTTGCTGTCCAGGTTCTGCATGAAACAGAGAATTTGTTAAGACAAAACTCTCAAGGGGCATTCTGAAATGGACCATTTTAAGTGCTAAACACTTTTCTCTCAAAACATTTAAAAACAATTAACACAATTAATCTCAACCCAGAGCACATCATTTCTTACACTGTTAACTTGCTGCAACCTAAGCCACTGTTCTGAGGCCTTAAGAACAAAACTCAGTGTGGTTCACAGTTTTTCCCTCAACTTATCAGTTATTTAAAATGAACAACATTGAAAGAAGAATTTGAAAATTCTTAAAAAGATGGCTGTGTTCCCATGAAATTCAGTAGCTGCTGTTATAGAACTGGTCCAATAAAAGAAGCATTAGGTTTCACGCTGATGACCACCGCGGCCTTTTGATGTTTTGGCACCACCAGTCATACTCCTTCTTGTTTTTTCTCCTTTTCTTTGGGCTACATTCCAAGACTACACAGATGTCAAAACATTTTTCAAAGCTGTTTTATTTGTGCCACAGGCAACTGAGAAAGTCAGTACTACTCCCCTTCCCTAACTCCACTTGTATCTGACTGTAAAACACTGGAGCATGCACACAAACATGAAACAGAAGTATCATACAATTCCCTGCTTGTCTTTAGAAAGGGAAAGGTCTCTTTTCAACTGAAGCTTTCAAATAGCACCCACAGTTTCCAGCCTGAAACCATAGTTTAGGCTGAGTGTAATTATGGCATTAAAAATACACCACATTTACAAAAGCAACAGAAGGATGAGAAGAGGAAACTGGTGTGTTTTGAAAGGGCAAGACAGACTCAAATAATTTAATTTAAAATCAAAGTTAATATATAACAGCTTTGATGAGAAACTGCAATTTGTCAGCTGATCTACACTAACCCTCTCCTCACACAGAGACATTTAATGGATAATCTACCCTGCAAAGGGTGATACTCTTAATACACTGATCAAAGCATTCTGAGAAAATTTATTACTCAGCCCTGTGTTTCCTCATCTTTTAGATATATGTATAAAATTATTTTCATCAACATAAGACATGCTCTTATCATACTAGCAATCTCACAGCCTCCTTCTTCTACTCACGACAGCCTTCCTCTCCCAGTTGCAGTTACATGTCACTGTCACTTAGTACTGCAACTGATTACAAGAAAAAGTGAAAACTGTTTTTGGTGACTAACTATGCAGCAGTTTAAGGTAAGAAAGCCAAAAAGAGATAACGATCCACTGTTCTATTAATCATCACTAACTGATCCACAAAACATACATTTTTTTAACCTGCCATATATAATTTCAGTATTATAATACATGAAGTCTTCTATAGCATCACTCCATTCTCAAGTTTTCAAAATACAAACTGCTGAGAAAATCTCCTTAAGCAAGTATGTGATTTTGCCAGTACTGCTACTGTAACTCAGGCAGAGGGAACTTAATATGAAAA